TTGCAGAACTTGCAGTATTTCTTGCCCTAATTCCTTTCAGTAGACTCAGCTGCCTTGGTAGCCTCAGATTGTACTGCAAGTGCCACAGCCCACAGTCTGTGACCTTTTACCACTTCCTGATGTGTTAGCCTTCAACTCTTGCTCATGTTGCAGCAAATCATCCACTGCATCAGCTACTGTGGGTAGAGGCTTCAGCATCGGGAGTTGTTTCTTTACCCCTTCAAACTCTGGGTTCAGACCCCTAAGAAATCTGATCAGATAATCAGTCTCCTGCTTCTGGTTGTATGCTACCACTGCAGTGCAAGGTATTGGGTTTCCTGGAATACAATTACACTCAACAATAGGACTATATTCTGAGTATTCATCCCATAATTCCTTGATTAGAGTGTAGTATTGAGTGATAGTCATGGAACCCTGTTTGCAACGATGAATCTCATCCTCTAGATTCGTCAATCTATTTGCATTTAATTGACCCAAACCTATGATGAAGCTCATCCCACAAGGTTTTGGCATTCTCATGACTCATAACTGATCTCTTGGTGTCTTTCTGCAGTGTATTAAGAATCCAAGTAACTACAGCTATATTGCAACTATCCCACATAAGATAGCTTGGATCGTTTCTGGCTGGAATCGCCATAGATCCATCAATGAAGCATAACTTGTGCTTCATTTTCAATGCCTTCTTCATAGATCTACTCCACATGGAGTAATTAGTCCCATCCAACGACTCAGACACGATGGGTTGAGTGAAATTCTCATTTGGGTTAAGGTAGAGTGGGTTACCAAAGACGATGACTCCATTGTTGCCGCTCTGGTCACCTACAGCAGTCCCAAATGGAGAATTTGTGTTGTTGAAGACGCCACTGGCACGCCGAGCTTCATCTGTCGATTCAGCCTCGGATTGCCCGGTCATCGCGTTGCGGAAACGGCCTCAGAATGGCCGCTCTGATACCATGACGATTTTCTTTGTTTAGGGTTGAGAATGTCGCCGAAATCACAAAGACAGCAGTGTGCTGCTCTGTTCTTTTTATATCAGCTCATAAACCAGGATTACAGATAGTTGCCAAGTGTCTCTCTGTCACTGGCTAGTTTTAAACACTAAACAGTGTTTTAACGGCTAATCTCAACTATAAAGAAAACGGTGTCGCAACACCTCTTACAGACAGAAGGTATTCTAAACGACTGCGTTTCTATCTGCTCTTCTGCAATCCTTCTTCATTCTGGATTTGCTTATCCATAACTCTGTCACGGTATTCTGTAATACCAAATAGAAATAAATTCGGTATATCCCAAATACCAATACCAAACTTCTCGCCCTACATGTAAGTCTGAGGTTGTAAAAAAGGACAATTGTAAGAAAACGAGTACTACAAAAGATGATGAATGGAATTAATGGAAAGGAAAAGAAGAAAGTTGTTTCAATTCGTCAAGAGGGAAATTAAATATATGGCAATTTCTTTCCGTCGTCTTCATGGAAACCATGTTTTGGAGGTATGTACCGATGAACTTTAATTATTCGGATCGGAAGCCGACTTGATTGATACTTAAGAGAGAAGATAGGGAGCTAGCGAAGGGTAAGTTAAATTGAGGGATCAGTTAGCATGCTAACCTTCTAAGGGTGGAAAAATGACACCTCTATTAATTATAGTTATTTTTTGTATTAAATTCGTGTTGCATTTAATAATCTTTGGAAATTAAAAACTCATCTTAATTACATTCCTTTTTTTTAACTACCATTGTACTGATACAACTACCATTGCACCTGTATACTGAACTCATATTAATTATGTTCCTTTTTTGGAACTACCATTGCACTGATACATCTACCATTGCACCTGTACACTAATACCATTGCACTGATACAACTACCAGTGCACTGAAAAAAGGAAAGTAATTAATGTGTTTTTAATTCATACAGATTATTAAATGCAACACAAATTAATTACCTTAAAAACCTATAATTAATAGGGGGTGTCATTTTTCCAACCCTTTTATGGGTAGGCATGCTATCTCATCCCTTAAATTGACGATGGTAATTCCCCATTTAGTCGACATATAGACATAATCAAAATTGGCGAGAACACAGTGGCCGAAAGTACCTGTGTACTATTTATATAATATAAATAAATAGATAATTATTTAATAAATATAATTAAACTTATAATATTCAAATAATTCATTCACAAATAATAAATAAATATTAGACTAATACAATCATTATTTTCACAAATAATCAAGACGCATTTTCATATTTTCAAGGTATCCAACTAAGCAACAATTAGCAAATTGATCGCTATTCGATTTTGAAACTTGGTTTTAATATTCTCAAAGTTGAAAATATTCTTTCTACACTTGAAGTTGCAACGGGTAGAGTCAAAATTAACTTCAGCAAACAGAAAGATCGATCTTTAGGTGTTATGAAATTTTTGATAGTATGATAAATTGATTCATGTTAGTTTTTAAACTTAAAATAAAATGTAGTTTAGTGATAAAACACTTTTATGTCACCTAAATGTAATGAGTACAATCATTTATTAACACATATATATGGGGTATTTTATTTTGGCCAAAAGTTACATGTGTTCCGGGACACATCCCATTGCCTCTGCCTCCGCCTATGCGAGGACATGTGGGTGGAAAGGAACAATACGAGTAGGCAAGAACAAGATGCTGATAATAGAGCTGACGAGAGCACTTCTAGTATGCTATAAAACATTGGTGTTTTAATGTACAATTTAAAGTTGTACCATAACTTTAAATGTATAAGTTCAAGTTATACCATTATGTTATGGTACAACTTCACAACTTGAACTTGTACCATCAAATAAAGATACAAGTTTAAATTGTACCATAAAAGAATTTGTACAAAAAGTATATGTACAATCTGCAGTTGTACCATAACGTTAAAGGTACAATTTGAAAATGTACTATAAAGACAAAAACCTATAACACCAATGCTATATAGTATTGTAAAATTCCTCATGATAGTTTTTTTTTTTTTTTTTTTTTTGCCTCCGTTCAATTTCCTTTTTTCTGCCTCAATTTATGACCTTGAAGTTGAAGGAAGGGTTACCCTACGTAACAAAAGTCTGCAGGGTATAGCTAGGGATGGAGAAAGGGACCACGGCCAAAGTTTCTTTTATCAGTTACGTTACATAGATTGGACATTGTTGACTGTATTATTGTGTACATAATAATGATACACGAAATAAACAGTAGACGAAATGGAAGAAATTAATGATTATTTGTGTAAGAATTGGGGCAGACGACGGTCCAGTTTGGCTGCCATGGCCAGCTACTGGTCGCCGGACCATACTAATATACAGTACGACTGTGGCGGTGGTCCACCGGCTGCAGCCTCTGACTCGATCGGATCGCACCCTGAGTCCTGACCAACGCCAGGGCCCAATTTCATCTTGAGGCCCATCAGGCAAAAGAGAGAACAAAGGGCTTACAATCTATATTCTATAGTGTTAGCTTTGTGATAGACTCATAGTGATGGCAAATACTTAGGCATAATAATTTATTAACCCGCTCCGCCGAGTATTATTCGTCCGGACTCAAAATGGGACGGGTATTTACCCAATCCGTCGTAGCGTGGGGCGGGACATGGGTATCAACTTTCGTTCCACCTTGTCTCGCCCCGTCCCGTTCTTAGCCCATTTTAGGTCAATTTCTTACGCCATCCATTCATATATCTTTTATTTTGATTTTTCTTCAATTAGCTAGACTTGATTTTTCAACTAGATAGACTCAATTATCCATTATATTATCACAATTATTCATTTATGAACTCTTTTCCCCTTCATTTTATCTAAAAAGTAAAATTTTGCGTGTATTTTTTTTTCAAATAGTATTTAAGAGTGGGTTGACTCGACCCGCCCCGTATCCGCAGGTGTATTTCCCGCCCGACCTACAGTAGCGTGAGACAGGGCATGGGTATTGAGATACCCGCCGCGCCCCGCTCTATCCATTGCCATCACTAAGGTGAGTATCCACAAATACCTATACTCAGCTCTACATCAAGAGCGAGTCTAATCGAATAATATCATTTTGGCTACGGGTCGTGACAGTTCAACCCATCATATCTTATTTGAAAGAAAATATTTATTTTTTTTAAACTATAAAACAAATGAAAATAGATCACAAATAAAAATAGAGATAAATAGATAATAGATTGATCACCTTAGTCAATTAGTTGAAAGATGAATTCTTACACTAATTTAGGATGAAACTATGAGTTAAAAAGTTAAAACAAGAGAAGTAGAGAGAGACTTTGAGACTAAAGAGTAAAGAAGATAGAACAGGGCGCACAAAGCAAAAGTAGTACCATACTCCACCACGCGCTATTGCAGATAATGTATTACACGCCCCAACGCGAAACGAGCTCAAATTGCCATCACTTGTTTGTGCGCCTCAACACTACCAGAATGCCATGTTGGAGGTTCTGAACTGAAGGCGGAGTCCTTTTCCTCTGCGGATTAGGATTGTTTGAAGACACGGATCGCCTTAGTTGATGCGGTGCCGTTTCCAGGAAAGTGTCTGTTTAATAAAGGCCAAATCGTGTCTCTGACTAAATGTTCATTTGGTCCCTATTGTTTTAAGTTTGGTCAGTCGAGTCTAGATAGGTTGTTTGTCTGTTGAGAGATTCTTGTGATCATGTAGGTAATGCAAGCTGATTAGTAGGGCTTGCTGTTAGTAGTTGGAAGCATCGAGGCCGAACTTTGTGGCTCGAATGCTGAGTATTTAACCTTTGTTTTATCATCGTCAATAAATGTCAGTTTGCAATATACTAGTGTTCTTCATGCCAGTGAATGTGTATCAATGAAAGCACCCATCAGTAATCCCTACAAAAAAGAACTCTCAAGGCCTCCAAATCTGGTGTTTGGTTGCAGACAAGCAGAGGATGGAACTAGACAGGAGATTCTCAAAGTGCAACACGCATCACGAACAGGACTCTCAGTGAACATTGAGCTACTCATTCATATGCTTTCAAGGTACAAAGAACAATGTAATAAGCATCGTTTAAGAAGCTACATAGAAAATGCATTAGAATCATGAACACAGGGTGGTCACAATCTTCAGACACCGCAGGGCTTGCTTTCTTGCTTCATCCAATGGAAAACAAAGGTCCTGTGAGTTGTGCATGTCACTAACTACACAGACCAACATCACCTTATGCTCTAGTTCAACAACAGGACAGCAAATAACAGCATAGGTTCAATCTACAAATAGCACACCTAATCACACTCGTTGATGCCAGTTGAGAAGAGGGGGGATTTTATTTTGTTAAATTATTAGGACCAAACAAGGAAAAAGAGTAACATTCATCCCTACTACTCGAGTCCAACCTATAGCTACAGGCACATTAAGGAACTGACTTTACAAAGCATTCTTCAGACTGAAGACGAAATGAAAGAATCCCGGTACATTGAACAAAAAGATGGAGCCTAAAACTCATCCGGGGAAAGACAGAAAAGAAAAAACTAGCTGACAGAAAAGATTGAAATAACAAAACCCAAAATATGCAACCTGTGATAGCTGATTTGCTGAAGCTGCCTTCTGCTCAACAAACGGAGACGTTTGCAGGCAGGCAGGCACAACAAGCGCGCATTGCTATCAGAAACAGCACCTGCTGGATGTCTCTTCAAGAAACTCTTGCTGGATTCGCTCCTGGGAGATCAAAAGCACCGGAATAAGCCACTAAACAAGATGAAATAAGCAGAAGAAGTTTATCAATGTCCATTTTAGTTAATCCATCATATTTCTTCTCTAGAAACAAGGAAAATGCAGCAAAAGAGACCAATGACCAATGATTGTTCGTCTATATCCTTAAAAGCCAATGCACAGTTTGTAACCCCATCTCAATGAAGTTCATAGCACACTAACCACTTGCCACGTAGGGTGCTTTCTTAAGCAACATAGATTAATAAGGAAGGAACCCAGTCAGCTTCAGAACAGGCAGTTTTCAAACTCAGATTTCAAGGCCGTAAAGCGACTACAACTAACACTAACAAAGAGGAAACGAATTTGCCATGAGATTTCCAGGAACCATTGAGATAGAAGAAGAATAAAAAGGATTGGCTAGGAAGGAAGCACACATTGTACTCAACTAACATCATCTTAGAAATTATACCAGTCACAGAAACTCTGTTAACAACTCTCTCATATAATCACGACAGTAGCAAAAGTTATGGTACCAAATACAACTACCACCTAAAACAAAAGAGTATATTAAGGCATGCCTAGAAACCACGGATATGGCAATGTTTAGACAAAGAGGCAGACATAGATGGATAGCCTAAGCAATCACTACCACGGCAAGTTGGGACATATTAGAAAAAGTGCTAGAGAAAAGTTTGGTGGAAGCAAGAATGTTCTCGACAGTCCTCATACTACTGAGCACTTTTCAAGCACCTGAGCGTATGGTACACGGAATAACGATGCCTAAACTACATGAATGCACCAACAAAGGTAGACTGAAAATTGAGTCCATCTTGCCATGTGATTGACACACATTAATCTTGGCACCCAAGAAAAACCGAGAACTGCCAACGAATGTTAAATACCTTTTCTCTTGCTTGAGCCAGGCAAACTTCCATTTGCAGCAACGGCATTCCCGACACCACAGACCGAAAAATCGTTGAAGCCAGAAGTCTGATTCACCATGCACTGAAGATTCTCAAAGTCACAACCAGTGTAGACTTGCCCATTTACAGCCACACCTTCTGCTAATCCTTTCCCATCATCCATCCCAGGATGCAAGCAATACGCTTGATCATTACATACCATGTTACAAGGGTTCACCACATAAGCACCCTGCCCACTTGGATTGGTTAAATTCAAGTTAGCAGTAGCAGCAGGTTTCTGATAGGGAAAAGACCCGATCTCCCCTTCGATCCTTCCTCGAATATCAACAAGCAAACACTTGAGCCTGGCAATCTCTGCCTCCAACGCAGCCTGCCCTTGTACCCTCTTCATCAGCTGCTGGTTCAAAGCCCTCAATTTCACAACTTCATCCTCCAAAGACGCAGCCCTCGCCTTCTTCTTCTCTCTGTACTTCCTCACCGCCTCCCTGTTGCCCAAAGGCCGCTTCTTTGACTTCTTATCCACGGATTCAGCAGTGTCATCGCTGCCATGCTTATCATCTGACGAACCCGAGACGATTTTGGTATGCACATGGAAGCAAGTATGAGTGTGGGAGTAATCGGGACCAGGTGGGTTGCAGGTGTGCGTGTGAGTACACGCATGGCTATCTCTGAGCAGCTCGTCGAAGAAACTGTCCATCGAGCCGCTGGTCGGAATCTCCGGCATGTTTGTGCTGGAGAACACTTCCTGCTGCGAGAAATCAACCTCGCCGTCGTCCATGGCGGAAGATTGAAAGCTCAAGGAGACAGCTTCGATAGCCTAACCCAGATTGCAACAATTCAAATGATCTAGCAAAACCCTAAAGCTGAACGCGGAGAAACCAGACCGATGTTTCCGAACAATTGGATGAGAACCCAGATGCGGGATTTGCATGAGAACAACCGGGATTGCCTACGGAGCCGCCGATTGCGATAAAAATGCCGGATTTTGCGAGGATTCGTCGGTGAATACGAGGGTTTTACAGGGGATGAAACGGAGATGAGAAAATACCGGAGAGCAGATGATTCAAATCGATATCAGAGGAGATAAATGAAACCCTGGAGATTCAAGGATGAAATTGGGTAGAGAAAGAACAAGCGAAACTGGACCAGAGACCATTTTCATTTTTGTTTCGGTGGCCACCGTAGCTCTTGAAGATTCGTAGAGGCAGCGGCGGACGTGGAAGGGCAAAAGGTTAGATTAGTCCTTCGCTGTCAATTTATAGGTACTCGTCACTAGCAAATCTTAAAAATAATGGAGATGTATATTAAATTAATTATAATTGTTCATCTAATCAATCAAAAGTAGGATTAGGAGTGCAAATGATTTGGTTCGCAACGGATTAAAACTAAGATCAAATCAACATTTTGAAATTGAATATAACATGGTTTATTTCTTGTTATCATATATTTTTTTTTTAATACAAGAAAAATAGATCGAACCAATATTTGACATTGTGGACACTACCAAATCAAATTAACTGGTTCAGTTGTCATCCTCAAATTTCTTTCATCGTTGGACTATGATTATCACGATTTGTTCTTATTTGAGTTTAATTTAAATAATGTTTTACTTTGAAAAATGATTAGACCGGTAAAAGATAACTTGATTGACGGGTTCTCTCAAGTCTCAACTACCACGAATATTTCCCTAAAAAAAAAAGGTTAATACCTTGTTATGGCCTGAACTATGACCATGTAATCAACTTTGGCCAGTGGTTTGAGAAATTAACATCCTGGCCCGAACTATGCAGCATATAGACAAAATTGGCCTCATTCAACGGAAAAAAAAAAAAAAATTGGTCTGGAGCGTGGTTTGACCGTTTGTTTGGACGGTCAACACCGTTGACCGTTAGTCAACTGTCCAGGTCACTGGCATGTCAGCATAAAAAAAATTATAATTTCATTTTTCTTTTTATTTCATTTACAAAATTGAATAATTAAAAAAAACAAAAACAAAAACTTTTGGTCCACCCATCCCCACTTTATCCCCTCACCTTCTTTCCTTTTCGATCAAACCCAAACAAACCCTATCTTCCTTCTTCTTCCTCCTTCTTCCCCGACGAGTCGCCGCCTCCATTCTCTCCGACTTCAAATGCAGCGGAGAGCCTCCACCTACATCATCTTCACCAGCTTCCCCTGAAATCGTAAAAACAAAACCCACTATAGGTAGGATCAACTAAAAAAATTACAAAGTCGCCTCCTCTTTTTTCCCCCTTCGTTTATCGTCTTTTTAGACTAGAAGTTGATGATGGTTAGGGGTTCCTTCCAAATCCAAATCTACATAAAACAAAACTGAGAAAAACCTTTGGGGAAGCCATGCCTGCCGCCAGCATCTTCTGCCTTTCCTTCTTCCTTTATGAAAACCATGAAATTGCTACTGCGATGGCTCTTCTTCCAGTATATCGTCTCCAAAAGCTAGCTAATAAACCAACGAGCTTGATTCGGCTTCAGAGAACCTCCATTCCTTCGCCATCTCCCGGCCACAACATAGAAAGGGTTTCACTTCTTTCACCTCTAAGATGCGGTCCCAAGATTGGCTCGCCGTCTTTCAAGCATCGCTAACGTACTTACGAAACCCTTCAAACCGCCGATGACCTTGCACGGCAAAAACAGAGACCTGCATCTCCAAAACAGGGGAGTCGAATTCGAAGCTTTCTCGACGGAAGGGAGCTCGAGGGAGGAGGCGGTTGAGGTTTTTCGGTTCACGACGTTTGAGGAAATCGGAAAGGCGGCAGCTTTCGACCTTGACATGGATGAACGGGATGCTTTCCCCGAACCTGTCGATGAGCAAATTGCCCGAATTCGTCCTGCCGGAGAAAGGGTAGTAGACGGTCAGAGTCTCGGCAAGAGAGCGCTTCAGGTGGGCGATGAAGCGATTGGTGGATTGGAGATTTGGGGTTGCAGGGTTGGCGTAGAAGAGGATGAGTGGAGCGTAGAAGAAGATGGAAGATAGGGTTTGTTTGGGTTTGATAGAAAAGAAAAGAAGGTGGGGATGGGTGGGTCAAAAGTTTTTTTTTTGTTTTTTTTTAATTATTCAATTTTGTAAATGAAATAAAAAGAAAAATGAAATTATAATTTTTTATGCTGACATGGCAGTGACCTGGACAGTTGACTAACGGTCAACGGTGTTGACCGTCCAAACAAACGGTCAAACCATGCTCCAGGCCAATTTTGTCTATATGCTGCATAGTTCGGGCTAGGATGTTAATTTCTCAAACCACTGGCCAAAGTTGATTACATGGTCATAGTTCAGGCCATAACAAGGTATTAACCCAAAAAAAAACTACCACGAATATATTGAAGCAGAGGAAAGCATTTTTATTGCATAATTGAAAAATTGAACCACACAAGTCACGACTCATAGCTACATTGTTTAAGATAATGAGAAAGACATGAGATTTGACCCACGCTAAGATTATTCCCACTTCCTACTAGCTTTCTTTTTTTTTTTTTTTACAAAAGATAATCATATATTGATTCAAAAAATAGGCAATTACACCCTGGAATTCAGCCAGGCCTGGAAATCGAAATAACGACTCGCAGTCGGGTACAAAGAAAGGGCCTTTCGAGCCACCAAGTGGGCTACCCTATTACTACTCCAACCAACAAACCGAACACTAAACCCCGGGTTACTGGACAACCCCAGTACCACTTCTTCCAGAATCGCTCCCATCGTGTTATCTCTAATATCTTGTTTCCGAAGTTTGTCGATGACTACCTTAGCATCCCCTTCAAATCTGACATCAGTGAAACCCTGCCCGAGACACCAAAGAATACCCTCGCGAAGGACAAGCAGCTCTACTAGCATGGGGTCATCGATTATCGGGAATTGGACCCCTTTAGCCATAAGGACCGCCCGAGAAGGGGTCATCAATACCAGTCCCACTGCCGAATGAGATCCACTCCTAGTAGCCCCATCCCACATGCAGACTATGCCATCCTCAGCTTCCGACCCTGCTTGGTGGGCTAAGGGATTCGGGGCCTGGAGAGGCTTATCCCCAGGAAGACTCCCCCACTCCTCAACCTGCTGGGCATATTGGCGCATCAAAGCAGGAATCCCAAACTGCTTACCTTCAAAAACCACCCAATTCCGTGACCGCCAAATTCGCCATAGGACCGCCACCATTCTCATCAAAAGAGTTGGCTGATGAATCAGAGCCATCATTCTTTTAAGAAAGAGCGGGAAAGTATGGCGAGGAAGCCCCTCCCCTAAGTATTCAAGTCCCGAGTATCCCCACAGAGCCCGTGCCACCGGACAGTCCAGGAACAAATGCTCCATCGTTTCCTTACACTCCCAGCAAACCGGACACCGAGGATGCACCGGGACCTTCTTCTCAATGAGAGCTTCGGTAGTAGGCAAAATCCGGTTGAGGAGCTGCCAGACAAACACCTTCAATTTCGGAGGGATATTAGCCTCCCACAACCGGATCCAGCTACCCCTGTCCATCCAACTAACTGAGGCTTTCACACGACCCCCCTTCCTCCTATCAATGGATACAGCCAAGTGGTATGCAGACTTGACTGAGAAAACCCCATTCTTCGTATCATACCAGACCAGCCTATCCTCAACATTACGGCGCGTGAGAGGAATAGCCTTAATTAAACGGCACGTAGGAGGGTCAAACCACTGCCTCAGTTTGCTATCACACCATCGCCCTTCCCCTTGACAAATCAACTCCGCCACCGGAGGATCACCCCCAATTGGCAATACCTGCGGATTATACCTCGGGGGATCCAACTGGCACTGGGGGATCCAAGTGGAATGCAGAAGCGAAGCCGACCGCCCATTCCCAATTTGCCATTTCAGACCCATCTCCAACAATTTCCGACCGTACAAGATACTCTGCCATCCCCACGACGGTCGAGAACGAGCTTTACCATGCAGAAAGTGCCCAGTAGGAAAATATTTACCCTTATAGACCTGGGCTAGAAGCGACTGAGGTTCGCAGATAATTCGCCAACCAATTTTTGCAAGAAGGGCCTGGTTAAAATGCTCAAATTGACGAAAACCCATCCCTCCCTCATGCTTACTCCGACACAAATTACGCCAGGACATCCACCTGATTTTAGAATGCCCCTCATTAGTGCCCCACCAGAAGCGGGCGACATGTTTGTCCAAGAGACGACACAGAGAAAGCGGCAGCTTAAAGCAGGACATGACATGCAACGGCAAAGCCATAGCTATAGACTTTATCAGCGTTTCCCTCGCCGCCCATGACAAAGTTCTCTGTTTCCAACCCTGGAGCCGTTCTAGCAATTTCTCCTCAAGATATCTGAATGTTTCCATTTTCGACCGAGCGATCAACGATGGCAACCCCAAATATTTATCATGGACTCCAACTGCCCCCACACCCAGAACCGCCGCTAAAAAATCTTGGTCTGGGTTCGAAATATTTTTGCTGAAGCAAACCGCAGACTTAGCCAAATTCACCCGCTGACCACTCAACTCCTCGTACTCATTCAGAACCTCAATCAAATTTTCACATTCCTGGAGAGTGCCTCGCAAGAATAGATATGAATCGTCAGCAAAGAATAGGTGCGAGATTCTAGGGGCACGAGGAGCCACTTTAACTCCCGCCAATTTATTTTCCGAGATCGCCAGCCTCAGGAGAGCCGCAAACCCCTCAGTGCATAGCACGAAAAGGAGGGGTGAAAGAGGATCCCCTTGGCGAAGCCCCCTCGAAGGACTGAAAAAACCGGACAGGGTGCCGTTCATAAGCACCGAAAAGGATGCAGAGCGGAGGCATTCAGAAATCCACCCTTGCCATTTTGAATTAAACCCCATCTTGTCCAAAACTGCGAGTAGAAAGGGCCATTCGACTCTATCATAGGCCTTTTCCATGTCAACCTTTAGAGCCATGTACCCTTTTTTCCCCTTTGTCTTGATTTTCAGATAGTGCATTAATTCATGCCCAAGGAGGACATTCTCTACTATTTGTCTTTCACGAATAAACGCATTTTGCCCCATCGAGACAATCTGGGGGAGAATGCATGCTAGTCGTTCTGCCATGATTTTAGTTATAACTTTATACACAAACTGGCACAAACTGATCGGCCGCAGTTGCCTCATTGATTCCACATTCTCCACTTTGGGAATTAAAGTTAGCCAGGTATGATTGAAGCTGCGCAGCATTCGCCCAGTCTCGAAGAAAGAGACGACAACCTCAGTCACCGAACTACCCACAATTCCCCAGAAAGCCTTAAAAAACTTCCCAGTAAACCCATCGGATCCAGGGGCCTGCTTTGAGCCCATAGCAAACACTGTTCTCCGCACCTCCTCCGGTTGCACCACAGCTGTTAGGGCATCATTCATTTCCTGAGTGACACACCGGTCAATCGGTAAAGCCCCAATCCTATCCCGCATGTTCGAAATCTGGTTCTCTGAAGAGAAAAGGTTTACATAAAAATCTGTCGCAACAGCTGCCTTCCCTTTCTCATCAGTAACCCATTTCAATCAACGTAAAAGAAAATCTATTGATATAAGTAAAAATAAAACATTTTATTTATTTAAGGTGCCAAATGAACCGAGTAGAGTTTTGATATAGTTTGAGAATGACTTGTTTAAATTAGTCGAACTCAAATTCGGCTTGTTTATGAAAATTTGACTCGTGTTTGACTCGATTTCAACTTATATAATGAGCTTATGAGGTCTCTTTCAATTCGGTTGATCAATTAGCTTACAAGTTCGACTCGAAGTAAGGTATTATATAATTTAGTTTATAATTTTTATCCGATAAAATAAGTTTGTAATTTTTAATGGTTATATCGTGTTATTAAATACTGAATAGTATATGCCCAATTTATGATACATAACTTTTCTTTTTTAATGTAAATGAGACATAGGTGTTCAATTTCTTAACATTATATGTGGCGTGGTATACAATCATAATTTAATGAACCTATAAACTATCAACAAGTCAATGACAAGATATCAGTCGGTTCACTCATAAGTTGTTGGCTAAGGTGGCACAGTAGCCATGCTATCGAACCAGCTCATAGCTGAAAACAATCTAGCTCACGAGTTAAATTCAACAAGTCACAGAATCGAGACGACTCACGAATTTTATGTGTCAAACATATCTAAACTCAAACTCGACTCATTAGTAAATGTGTCTCGTATCAAACCAGCTTTTGCCGAGTCACTCGTAAATTCATTGGTTGGTTCATTTGCGGCCCTAATTTTATTGTCAATATCTGTAGTTTCGTGAAATTTTTTCATGATTCTTTACCGTGCCAGGCTTTCAGCCCAGCTATCCCAACAACAAAAGAAAATAAAAGCCCAAGCTATCTACTTTGAAGCCCATGGACCGATTCTTTTCCGCCTGTAATCACAATTTACCGGTCCTCCCCTTGGGATTTTCTAGATTCCTTGCAGGTGACGGAAAAGGAAAACGGGTCGTCCTATACCTCGCCGGAAACAGTCAACAGTCCGTCCACCGGCGAAACCTTACATATATCAGTACCCCACAACGGCAAGCCTCCCAGGCTTCGTCTCCAACCCTAATTGCAACAAAATCGGCAGACAGTCAGAGCTCCAATTTGGAGTCGGCGGCCTTTCCCTTCCACGCGGATATTTCGATCATGGCCATCGGCGATGACATTGGGAGCAACGCTTCTTCCGATCTAGGGTTTCTGCGAGCGAGACCAGGCTAAGGAGAAAACAAGGGGATTACTCCGCCGCCACCGCCGCCGCAAGAATGAGGATCACGGGAACAGCGCCAGGGGTCCGATTCGAGCCCGAGGACGACCAAATCATCACTTATCTCCTCGATAAGGTAACGGGCAAGGATTTGCCCCAAAATCCGGTGATCGATTGCGACCTGTACGGCGAAGATGAAGCTTGGAAGGAGCTGTTCGTTGAAACCGGGGAATCTGAATTGTATTTCTTCACCAGATTGAGGAAGGTAAAGACGAAGAAGGGGGAAATGGGCTGCGGCGGCGGCGGTGGAGGCAGGGCTGAGAGGACGATTGGCTCCCAGGCCACGTGGCGGTCGAGCAAGGACGACCCCATTTTTCTCCCCGGCGGGAGCGTCCAGATCGGGTCGAAGCGGGCTTTTACTTACCGTCCCAACCAGAGTTCTGCGGCGGCGAGGAAGAAGGAAACCGGAGATGGGTTCTCGATGACAGAGTACCGCCTCGACGGCGTCTTCGACAGCGTCGCCACGGATCTTGTGATGTGCTCGGTGAGAAGGAAAGAAGGCAGAGCATCATCCTCTGAGATCGAGATCAACGATGCTTCTGTGCCGATGGCGTGGTGTTTGCGGCCTTGCAGATCGATTATGGCTCAGCCGATGATGGGAGGAAGGGTGTTTTCGTGTTAGTGATGGTACGAGCTTTGCCTGCTGCTATTGATGATACCTCTCAGTATCAGTTGGAACAGAAGGCAGAGAGAGAGGCATTCATGGCTATACCGGATTAACCATTATCACAGTGGAATGCAAGTTAGTTTATCTTATTAATGTCGCTCCCAATTCTTATCCTTTTGTTAATTGTTATTCAGATTTCTGGGTTCAATTTGTTTGATGTCATATCGTAATCAAACAATGTCATTTATGTAACATTTGGCTCATAATAAAAAACTGCAGCAGATTTTGCAATAGAATTGTCTGCAAATTCTTAGCCTCTTCAACTCATTTATCTAACACTTCTTGATTATGAATCTATGATTATCATCATCAGTAGTTCATTATTGTAGATTTAGAAAACAAGGTGTGGGGAAATGGTAAGCCAAAATCATATAGAAATTCCATCATCCCATGGCATATTTTTGGGTCCAGCTGCGAGCAGTGGCTTCATACTTGATCTTGTCCGTCTTGCACATATGGGCTATTTCAGGGACCAATGGGTCATCTGGATTTGGATCTGTTAGCAGCGAGCAGACCGACAACAAAACCTGGTTCAACCCAACATCAGCTAATCACCAACCAGAATCAAGTTCTAGCAAGGCTAGTTACACGTTTCAGTTTAATCACAGGCTTCAAGTTGGAAGAAAAACTTTACCTTGGAGATGGTAAGTGCAGGGCTCCATTGCTCCTTGAGTATATCCAGGCAGATGTTACCATTGCTGTTTATGTTAGGGTGGAACACTTTTGTCCTGAAAGCCACCTGCCATTAAGGGATATGAAGAAATCAGGTCCTAAAATGAAGAAAGATAGAGAAATCTTGGATCTTTGGGCTGGAAGCGGTTCAACCTTGGGAGGTTTGAATGGATAATCTGGTGGGAAGTGAATGGATACTAGGAAAACACCACCAGAATATGGACTGTCATTTGGCCCGATTATGGTGGCTTGCCAGTGGAACATATCTTGCGCCACTGGCCCTGCACTGCAGGAAGTTGGAGGGTCTCTCTGCAAGTCCTTCAGCTCCTTCACTATTCTCCTGGACGCCATTTTTGGGGATGAAAAGAGCTTCAAGCAGAGGTTTGCAGCTCAAGGTGTTGATATTTTGCAGGTGTTTTTGAAGGAAAGCTATGAGTTCTGGGACTTGGAAGTCCTACCCTGGGAATGGGAGTTTGTGGGTGGTATTAATAGAGGGGAACTTTTGATGGGCTGTTCTGCAAAGGGAATATTGATATCTCAAGATGGGCACAAAGTCCACTAATTTCTTTTTTGGAATGGTGTGGCAGTGGTCACAGTATAAATTCTTGAGGCAAAGTAGGGCCAAATAAGGTCGTTTCGTTTGCTACTTATACTGTCTGACTCACAAATCGAGCTCAACAAACCACTTATTTGATTTGGCTTATGAGTTTTGCGAGCCGAGTAAAATTTAACTCAAGTTAGTCTTTATTAGTAAGAGAACCGAATATCAAACGAGTTTTTTCTGAACCAAAAGTCGAACTGCTCGTGAGCAGATTAGCTTATTTGCAGCCCTAACAATGACATGTTGTTTTCTTCCTCTTCCTGATTACCTTTAAAAACAAATATTCCAAGAAAACCCACAACTCTTTTCCTTGACTAGAGAAGGAACTTGTACCCTTTTCATTTCAGCTCAATTAAGAACAATACGTTGTTTTCCGAAGGTCTGAATTCAGTCACCTTTTCCACTAATGGACTGATGCTACAGCAGCAACTAACGAGATAAAGATATTCATATCGGACATAATAAGCACAAACGGTAGGCCAATTGCGAGAATCCTGCAAATACAGCAAACCAATGAACTTGGCCTGAAAACCGATGGCTCTAATATGATCCACATAATTCGATTCACATCATATCTTTCTTTGTCCCTGATAAGAATGGAAGATATTCTTGACAAGATTATAACTTTGGTAGGCCACCAAACATTCCTTCTCTACCTCTTTAGAAAGACAACTCTCCATGACCATTTCTTCTTCACAAAACAATGCAAATCAACAGTCTTCAAGATGTAAAAGAGCCACACTGGCTTTGACTAAGATTCCAGGGATAACTGATCATAATACAATGATGCGCAGCGGCGCCACGTCATGGAAGAAAAATACAGAAGTGAATCGTTATCATTAAACCTCTCATATACAATCAGAACATACAAATCCAATAGAATGCAACAGACGATAACACACATGAACTTGATATTGATTAAATACTGTTGGTGACTCTGACTCCCCCTAGTTCTGTCAGTTCTTTTGCAGCTACAAATACCCATTCAGCGTCGTTGGCTTTCTCAAAGGTGGGATAGGAAGTGAGAGATGGCAAGAGACTAGATTTTTGAATCAATATGCCTAACTCGGTCATGATAGTCCACCAGAGTCCATTCTTTTACCAGATCACAAGATGGAGCAACCCTTCTGGGACTTTCTCTTCTTTCTCCTTTTCTGCTTCGGTGGCTGGAGAACCACCTTGATTGCCGCATCAAACACAGCCTTCACATTCTGTTACAGCAAAAAAGTTACAGAAGAAAAAGATTCTGTCAAAGACGAGGCAAGGTAAGAGTTTCGTCTGTGGCTCCAGGGAATAGGGATGTGTCAAGTTTCATTACCTGCTGTGTTTTTGAACTGCATTCAATATACATAGGAGCTCCAATTAGCTTTCTCAGCTCTTCTCCCTGTCACAAAGTACAGTATCAACTTAATTCTCTTGTGTAACTGTAAAGCAAGACTAGTTACAAAATTACTTAGTCAAACAAGGGAAAGTGGCAGCTTATGTTATACCTGAGCAGTTGTAATAGGTACTGCACCAGGATGATCCATAAGGAATTGCTTGTCCTCTCTTAAATCTGCAGAGTACCGATATAGATGTGATGGTAGCATAAAAAGGCTGAATGAAAGGATTTTCAAAGTTGATAAAGACACATTCTAAGGTAGAAGCCTCATACGATGAGTGAAAACTTGTAATAATCAATTAAATACCACAAGGATGGCCATTTTTCAAGTCAATCCACCTAAAGAGAAAACACCAAGGAGGAAATAGAATAGAATCTAACCGAGCTTAGTCCCGACAAGGATGATTGGAACACCAGGCGCATAGTGCCTCAACTCAGGAATCCACTGAAAGAAAGAAATCAGAGAAAATGAGATAGAACTTCATTAGCATATAACAAACCCAGACAGCTTCTAAAGAAAAAGAAGAAAAAAAACTACAAAGAAAATTTGTTCTGGCCTTACTTTCTTCGCCACATTTTCATAGCTTGCCTTGCTGATGAGAGAAAAAGCAAGCAGGAAAACATCCGCCCCTCGATAACTCAAAGGTCTCAGTCTATTGTAATCTTCCTGGCCTGTGTCAGAATCAAGTATCTATTTTGAAGCCATTCTGTTTCTTAGTAAAGTTGGCAACAGAAAAAACTATTTCTTAATTTTTCAACTCACCAGCAGTGTCCCACAAGCCCAGATTGACCGTGCTTCCATCCACCACAACATTTGCACTGAAGTTGTCAAAAACCGTTGGCACGTAATCCTATGTCCCAGAGGGTCACAGAAGAACAGGACAATCAAATGTCAGAGAGAGCTGAAAAATTTAAGAGTATTTGCACATGACTTTGATAAATTTCCACGAAATTATATGAGACGTCTAGCACAATCTTCAGTAAAAGGAAACATCGAAATCATATGTACTCTATGGCTCATGCCTAGTGTGATTACTTAGCCTTCTTATTACAGGTGCCAAATGCCTAAATCTTTACTTAATTTATAACAATTTGGAAAAAAGGGAGACTGTTTTATACTTGAAGTGTTGCATTGTTCCTTGAGATAAAAGAAGCTAACATTCATAGACTGTCAAGTGTAAAGAGACACTGAAGAGGTCAAACATATGAGAGTTACTAATGCCATTAGGTGGGTGAGAAGAAGGAAACTTGAGGGTTGGACCACAACTTCATAAGAGCTAAACCGTGGGCAACAGAGGACAATGGAAGTAACTAAAGTTGCCAGAAATTCAATTTTGATCCAGCAAATACTACACAATTCAACAAACATGCAGTAGATCCAAGTACCGGAAGCTCCTGACCAGAGATCTATTAAGAAAGAGATTATGTGATTCAGTCAGCTTGAAAGGTACCGCCTTTCTTTCAGCACGTAAAGGCTCTTTTAAGGTTCAGCAAAACCATTTGAATGGTTAATGTGAATTGCTCGCATCACTTGATTGCTGCTTGCACAAGAACTACGTAAGCTGGAGCATGTTACAAATCAAGCCCAAGTATCATTTCTGAGTCAATACTTTTGAAAGAAGCATATCACTAGATGATATGGTTAGTATCTTGTTAAATTAAATCTACCTACGAACTAATTTTTGGCAGCAATAATTTATCTCCTCGTGAACAGTCAGCTGTCTCTCTTTTACAGACATCCTTCTTTCCGGTTTCCAGCACTTATGCTAGTGAGTACCAAAAGATCTCCAATTCCATATGCTTTTGTTACATAAAACTTCCTCCTTAGCCGCGACATAGCAAGTTCAGCAGTTGTAATTGCTTTCCTAAGAAGGGTGCAAGTAAGCCAACCCAAAATGAATGATGTAAGAGGGAAAAGTCACAGAAGTTAAAGCAAAAGTAATCACTTCTTTCCTTGTCTCCTCTTCCTAGTTTGCAGCTCTAATTATTATGTTAGATGCTGGGAAAGATTAATTCACAAAACTGAAACTGAAACTGAACTAAGAGGACTGCAGAAAGCATATTGCCATACTGACTAATCTAAAAGGACCCAAATGTTAAACGTTCCCAGTCTGTTCCTCAAATGTAGAGTTATCAACAGTCTTCTTTGCCACAAATTTCAGATCAGAATGTTCTTGTTTTCGTTTCCAACATTCGGTAGGTTAATAAGCTCCACTAGTAACACTGATAAAAATCAATTCTTCTCGATGTCGAGACGCCTCAATCAAGAGAGATTTTGGCTGGATACATTCTATGTCTGGTTTCTAAAATTACGAAGAACTCAAGTAAAACAAACCACACCGAAATAAACCTCCACTGTCCTTCCATTCACAACATTCCCTCGTCCAGCCTGAATATTTTGTATTATCAACCCTAGCATTGACTTTACCAACCCAACTCTGGTTAAGAACGGAACACAAGCAACGTGGAACCCATTACCCTATCGGACTTTAGTTGACCAAAAAACGCCACTGAGTTGAAATTTTCTCGTATCATGTTTTCCTTTTCCCCTCATTTTCCCGGGAAACAAACACACCAGAAATCACAATCCAAACTCGATAAAGATCAAAGCTTTACCCCACGAATTAACACCCCCACAAACCTAAAACAGCAACAAACAACCAGCAAATCAAAACCTTCCCACTGACTAAGCAATTCCCTCCAACCCAAGACAAAATCCACCCACAGGACAAAAACAAAAGGACAAGAAGCTTAAAAAACTTGGGAGGGTTAAAGGAAAATTGAACTTACAGTAGGGAAAGTGTTGCTGGTATAGGAGATGAGCATACAAGTTTTCCCCACAGCGCCATCGCCAACAGTCACACACTTGATGAACCTAGAAGCACTCATCCTTTTTGTTTTATGAAAACCCTAATTCTCAATTGTGCAGGAGCATACACACAGCAGTATAGAGAAATGTGAGTTCCCTTTCCTTCCTTCCTCAAAGCAACCAGCTTTGAGAGAGAGAGAGAGAGAGAGAGAGAGAGAAGAAGAGGGAAAGGAAGAAGGAAAAGAAGTGGGAGGGAGGAAAGGAAGGGCGTTGGGGCTATGGAGGAAGAAGGAAGAAAGAAAGACAGCTGCTTGCCAGCTATAAAATGGCTTTACCTATATTTCAGGTCCTCAGTTCTCTCCTTCTGAGCCCACCAACAAACACTACAGTACACCCATCACTTTCTTTTTTTCTGTTTCCTTTTCTCTTATTTTTCTTCTCTGCCATTTGCTTTTCCGTTGAGGTTTTTTTGTCCCACGTCAATTGTCAAAGACAAAAGGATCTCTCTACTAGGCAAGGACAAAAGAGTTTGAGAAAGGCTAGCCAATCTGATTTAACCATCTGAAATTATGCTTTTTAAAATTTTAAAAATATTGTAAGGAGGAAAGAATCTATGAAACATTTAAATTATACGCGTCTAATCGTAAAAGATGGTGTAAATATGTTAGCGTGTATGGTAGAAGTGAGATTTTAATAAAAAGAGTGAGACATTGCTAAAATAATTATTGACTTAGAGATGTACGAAGATATTAGTAAAAAGATGTGTGACGATCACGGTCTTGCCCTAGATACTCATCCTCACAACTCACAAATAACAACTGATCATTCACATAGCATGGTGCTCTTCAATGCTTTCGACTTGTTCCCTAACATCCCCTTGTATTTCGTAAATCGTATTGTACACAACTACACATACACTTCACATGTTTGTCTTTCGCATGGTGCTTGTCCTAACTAATAACGAGGTCATTTGTATTGGATTTCTCGGATATTTTATATTTTAAAGCAGTTATCCACTGACTGCTCAAAACACTTTTCAACCCGGTAATTTCTCAAAACATCCAAATGTCAAATGAATCTTACAATCCATGCTCATTTCGAAACCAAAAAACAGTTCTCTTGCGACTAATCAAGTATTACTAGTATGAAAAAGAACCTAACCAAAACCCCTAATCATGCTTAGTATAATTGAAGATTGAATCCAAACCTCAAAGGGAGTATGTAATTTTAGAGAAGAAAATTTGGTATGCATGTGTAACCACCTTCTACTTTTGTCCATTGATTATTGTGATTTGGTGAACCATCCCCTCTATCTAACTAACCAAATCTCCAAACACCAACCAACTCTTCACCTTCAATTTCAATCAAAGGTTACCTTACTACAACTTGAGTGGAATCAGCAGCAGCCAGCTGGGCCTATGTAATTGGTCTATCTATCCATTCACACAAGTCAAATCCATAACCACTTGTTCTTTTTATGGACTTGAGTTGACCCAATACCTAAATTCAGTTTGGGATGGGCAAACCATTAAGCAGGGGAACAGTGTTTGAAAGCATATAGCCTTTTCTTCCTCTGTAATCAATTTGGAATTATATGATCCATGAATGGTTACATTAAAATTTTATGGTGAAAAATCATAAGGAAGGACATTCCATATGTAGAAATCACAATTGATTACTATTTCCCCCCTCTTTTGAGGCTTTCCCATAAACATGTGGTTGAAGTGCATGAGATTCATTATAGGCCATCCATGCTGATCTTTACTAGCAGGTTGACACCTTCAGGTCACATTGGGGTGGGATTCGGTTCCCGGTCTTTTGGTTCAACCGGACCCTAAGTTGGTTCGATTGTCTCTACAGTTCTCGGACTCTCCATTCTCCACTTTAACATCAAGCAGGCAAGACAACCCAGATCCAACTCACCTCAACGAATCGACCGGGTTTCCAACCTAGCCCATGTCCAGAGTTTGTTGACGTCTGATCACCAATCTCCATTGGTTGACGAAAGCAAAGCAGGAGTCCATGTGTTGGGCGCGCTATAGACATCTCTTGTTGAACTGAGTGTCATGGTGTGGGAGAAAAAGACAACAATAATGACAACGACGATTTAAGATTTTCCAGACACGCTAGTGTTTCTCAATCTTCTCTATCATAGTTATTATATCTGGTCTCTCTAACGAACCACCATAGTCGAAGTTAAGATTGACCTCAAATACCTCACAATTATGGAAGAAGTCTTAACCACCATGTAAGTATCCTTCAAAGAGACGTTAATGCTGGTGGTGATGATCAAAAGTGTCATACTTTCATTGGTGACAGGGCCCTCTTCTTTTCAACTCAAGCAAATAACCCTTCCAACCACCCTAATTACTTCATATTTACCTGCCCAACGATCTAACTGCTGCTGGCCAGATGGCCCTCACAATAATAATTTAATCCTCTAAGGTCCATTTCCTGAAATTATCAACAAATCAGGCCAGCAATCAATTCCCTAATCAACAACCCTTTCCCCAATTCGACAGTATAGTTAATCTGTTCGCTATATATATATTTTTGTTAATTAGGGGGGAAACAACCTTAACTACTCAAACTCATTGGTATAGCATGGTTGGCCATATCGTGACAAAGCAAGCTCTTGAAGTATTGGTTCGGATCGGACACTTGTTGTTCAACGTATTTTCCCTTTTTTCCTTTTGTGGTCTGGCGTGTAAATATCTTGTATATGTGTCCTATCCATACTGCTTCCATTCATGGATAGCTAAGACGCAAAAAGAAAACTCATAATTTAGTTGGATATCATCATGTTGAGATGTTGGATCCATACACCGCGAAACTAATAAATGCTATTAGAGATGCCTTCTCAGTTATCATTTCTTGAAAGCCTTTCTCGCGTTATTTTTGGAGGTGATTTCGAAGCGATAGTCCATTTATTTATATATATATAATGAATTGTTGAAATACCAACGCGACATCTCCGGCCATATAATAGTGAAATGGTAGCTGGGAGTGCACATGGGCAATGGGTGGCGGTTAGTTTAGCACCACCTCCATGTGCTTTTTATAAGCTTCTCTTTCTCACTGTCTCTCTCTGTTTTTCCAATTTCTGTCTTCTATCATTTTCTGATCATCAAAATAGAAAGGAAACTTGTCCACGATTGCTCCCCTTTCACTATCTCTCCCAGCTAGCTAGCTAAGCTCACTTCCCATCTCCAGTTTTTTCTTATCTTCTTCACCCGTTGGAGGGCTCTATGTGAATCATCAGATTCAGGACCAACATTGCATCTATGGTACAGACCAAATGAGCTGTAACATTAGGGCCCACTTGAGACTTGAGCCCAAAACTCCAAAGGGTAACCGGGCGAAAGTGATGGTTTTCATGGTGTTCTTCTTGCTTCATCTAAAGCTATATCCTTCCCATTCAAATACAGAAAGAAAGAGATTGAGGGGAAATGGATGGAATAATGGAGCAATGTACAATTAGAAACTGCCCAGTTTCAATAGTACAGAAGCCATACAAGTTAGAAAATGTCAGTGGACAATGGAGGGAAGTGATGATACCAGCTTTCACTATTCTTCATCCGAGTCAATGAGATGCAACTCAACCATCTTCGCAGTTCCCTGCTTGCCCTTGTCGACGGAAGCTTTCCCCTGGCTAGTTTTCGTCCGCTTCGCATCATCGTGTTGAGATGGATTTGGTTTCATGCTTTGTGGTTTCCTGAAGCGAAAGATCGAATGATATTGTTCAGAGACACAACAGAGGCCAGAACAAGGAGGGGCAAAAAGGTGTACAGGGACAAATATTTGGGTAGTGACTAACCTTTTCTCCGAGCTGGTCGTATGGTGGCTTGCTGCTCCGGATACTTTACTTGATGTTTTTGGATTCAGTTTTCCTGAAGCTGAATACCAAGCCTAAGAATTAATCGCTCGGGACATTGACTGGAATCGAAATGTGCATAGAGAAACAATATCGAACCTGTGAGTTCGTTTAGAAATCTCAATCCCTGCGAGTGTGTGTTCGTAGTCACTCTTTCTCCTTTGCTGTTGTCCATATGAAAAAGAATAAAAAGGAAAGTAAAACGTTTAAGAGGAGTTTGAGAACATGCAGTCTTTTGATCTAAACAGACTAAGTAAGGAGACTACTGACCTCAAAGCCTTTCTGAGCCCTTCTATAGACATTAACTTAACTGGCTGTGCGGGCTTTTTTATGTTCTTCAAGTCTGCTAGAGGATCGGCAATGTAAATACCTCTTGAGTTGAAAGGAGTTCTGAAGGCTGTGCTCAAATTTCTGCAGCCGAAAAAAGAAGCAGCAAGTTTACAATTCAGAACTTAAAGCCATTTAAATGATCATTTCATTCCAAGGAATTTTGGATGATGGCCTACCCTCCCTTAAGCTCAGTACGTGTCGTGGAGAATCTCTCAGCAGTTTTCTGTAGAATAACAATGTAAGATCAAAGTGAGTAAGAGCAAGATGGTTCATTACGATATGATCATTTTTAGAAGTCATGTTTACCACATTATGGTATCTGCAATAGACCGCTTGTCGCCTGAGAAAAAAAATCACAATTGCTGAAAGTTTTAGAATCAGAAATGCCTTTTAGGACGACATCAAGACGAGTTTATCAGTACTTTGTGAACATACTTATTTACCACCAGACTACAAGCCATTCCATCCTTCCTCTTCCCCTTGCAAACTCCATAATCAACAGAAGTCCCCATCTTTAGTATTTGATTGGCAGAGAAAACACTCAGTGAAAAACCTTGTCCCTGCATAACAAGGAAACAAATTAGCATGAACAACATTTGGCTAATGAAGCTGCTAAAACCAGCAGGGGATTACAAGGAACACACATTACCATATTGTCTTTCCTTACTGAACAGTTGAACAAGGCGAAAACAGTTCCAGCCTTCTCCATGCAGTTAAGCTTATAAGCATCACCAAACAGGAAAACAGAAACACTGCTCTCATCTAAACAGCTCAATTTCCATATCGAATAGCTTTTGCCCGCGGAGCTAGTTCTCGGTTGTCCCTTCTCGGTCAATACGCCAACAGTAGCCCAACATCCAGAAATACTGTCCCCTACCAATAAATTCCTTCAAAAAAAAAAATTGCAGTATTGTAAGCACACGATTCACTCTTTTCGCCCTCGATTACGAATCTAAAGAAGTATGAAGGAGGCTATACTTAATCGTTGGCAAGCGAACGAAACGGATGTCGGAGAAGTGTTCCGCTAACTGGGCAGGGGTGACTTGTTGATCACTGAATCCCTCAAAGCAAAGAGCAGCCAAAATTAGTGAACTTGAGTTATTTCATGTATAGCTAAAAGTGTCCACTCCGATGGAGACAGTACCTGATTCTTAATCCGGAATACTTCTCTAGGTTCGCTTCGCCGGATTTCTTCGCCGAAGGCCGGTGATTCTTCAGCTTCTTGGACTTCTCGGCGAGCTTGTTGACATCGAAATCGAGGCAATCTCGTACGGCGTCCTTGAACACCGACAAATCTGCCGCCTTGCCCTCTCTTCTTCGCCTGGGCGAACCCTCGTCATCGGATAGAAGCCCTAAATTTTGCAAAAGCGGACAAGCGATTCAAGCCAAATTCCATGAAATTAAAGAGAAACCCACGTCGGATTCTAGTAGAGCAATTGAAATGAGAAGGAAAGGATGGAAAGTTAGGGTTTATACCTGGAGAACCGGAAAGGGGATTTGACGGGGAGCCAGGGGGAGTTTCGAGAACTCGGTCCTGAAGTGAAAGGAGAAGGTCGAGATCTTCTTGGTGCGTCGACATTGCTGGGTCTGAGCCCGAATGGAGTTGGAGAAATGGCGGCCGCGGAAGGTTCGAGTGAGAACTGAGAAGAGAGGCTTTTTGGTGAATTTGGTGGTGGGAAAGCTCTCTGCCACATTTTGTTTGGCGGGAAAGGTTGATGTACTCATTGCTGGGGAAATCCTTTGTGATTTTTTCGCAAATTGGCTTTGACTAAATTAGCTTAATGAGATAGACTAAATTTTTTTTTGTCATAGATAAATCGTAATAGATAGGGTGTTACAATGCGGTGAAAAGGAAAGAGCAGTAGTCAACCAAATGGGTTGTTACCGATGCAATGGCCGTTTGTGCTACGCAATGGGCAGCCCTGTTAGTATGCCTAGAAACATAAAAAAACGAATAAACACAAAAAAGACTTATTTCGGCGAACTTCTTAAAGAGCCTTCTATTAGCCAATTTATGCTGAATACAAAACCTGCAAAGCAAGACCAAGCAAAAATACCAAACACAGGTGCATAATTAAATATGTCATTAAGTAAGAATTAAAACTCTTAAAATAAACGTGGTTAGGAACCGTTTTTGTAATTGTAACCGCCTATCTACTTGTAACCGTCTGAAGCATTCCACATCTAGGATTGGAGAGTCCGAATTTGTAACTGCCACCGAAATTTGGATGCCGGAAGTGGAAGTACGAAGAGGGAACGACATCGGCGCCATTGCTATACACTGGCCATTACCAGCCCTTGTGTCGCTGTAGCAGTAGCTCCGCCATTGGTGAGGCCTGCAAAGAAAACAAACGAAATATGGCCACTCGATGACACTCATTATCTCCCTAAAAACGGAGTCAATAAGGCCCATAAGCCACTGATGGTAATCCGAATACCAAAACAGAGATCTAAATCGCCGCCGTCTCTACCGCCGGTAAACCATGTATCCTTGTCTTCAAGTGGATCTGCACCTGTTTAGTTGAAAAATCCAACCCAACCAAACAGCCCTCAAAACAATCAGCGCTCCGCTGTTAGGTTGAAGCCGTCGGCACCCTCCCCTGAGAACGGCCGCTGCTCTGATCCACTGAAGCGACCAGATGGAGAAGAAAATAAGGAATTGTGCCACCAATCGCCTTCCTCTGGAAACTTAACTCTCTTCCCTAACCTAGCAGCAGATCGTCGGACCTGCGCCCTTGCGTCGTTCCAGTCGTCTTCTCTACTGGCGGTGCAATCTGGCGGCGGGGACACTTTTCCCAACCGGCTGTGCAGTTTCAGCCCATACCGTAACCGTCCCGTCTCAGCAGTGACACGAAGCGGTTACTATTCCGTCGAATCTCAGCAGTGATACACGTCTGAAATCGGCACCTTCGCTCGCTGCTGCTACGAAGCAGAAGGGATGGAGACGCCGCCGCCGAACAGAAGGGCGATGGAGGCTCCCGGTAAATTTTGGGCCACAAAATATTTTGGGTGCTGAAAATTTTCAACTCGCCCGCCTCATCTGTTTGGTTTTGCCGGATATTTTTAGTAATTTGGGCAGTGAACTGAGAAGAGCTAACTGAGAAAAGCTTAATGAGATAGACTAATTGTTAGGGAAAAAATTGCTAGACCAATTATTGTAAACACATATAAAGCGAGTTTAAGGTACTTGGACCAATACTTATTGATCTATGCGATTTACATAGCATTTCTATAGAATGTGAGAGGAAATATGTCATCATCTTTATTGATGACTATTCAAGGTTTTGCGACATGCTCTTGTTGCAAACTGAAAATGAAGCACAAAATTATTTTGGTATTGAGGAATTCAAACTTGGAACGCTTTCAATGTTGGGATTTTAAGCAGTTGTGCGGCTAAAAGATCCTTAAAGACATAGGGAGAAAGAGCCATTGATTGCATATTTTTTATATCCAAATTTTTTTGAGGCATATAAGTTCAATGCTATATAATCGAAGGGACGTTTACTCAATTCATTCCATAATTGAGTCCATATATGCCTTTTTTTATGAAAATTTATTTTCATCGATTTGATGCTCAAAAGATATGGTTCCTCTGGTGATGAGATGAATGAGGAATGAGGAAGATAATTTTGCTTCACAACATGAACTTAGAGAGAGAATACATGAATAAGTGGAGAGATATAGAGGAGAGAGAGTCTGACATAATGCAATAGAGCGAGCCACATAATGGAATAGTAAAGATAAAGAGGAGAGAGCGACATAATGGAATAGTTGATATGATCCCAAATGGTCAACTATACACGTTTAAATTACTTGATGAAGAAGCTATCGAAGTTGGAAAGAAGAAGGGCAGAATTTGTCTAAGTCAAAATCCGTGTTCAGGGTACCTACTTTGGAGGCATGGTTCTCTCAATTAGCTTGGTGGAAATTCAAGGTTAAGGATTTGTTTTAAAGATAAAGTTTCCATATTTCCAATGGTATGCCTTGTAGATCTAGATGATGTCATTAAGGTTGTTTTCCAAGGCCTCAAAGTTGCTACCTCAAAACTGGAAAACTGCCAAAAAATGGTTATAAGTCTGGAAACTGTTTTGTGAAGCCTACTTTGAAGCTTAATTCGAGGAGTATGGAGATGATTCAAGTCCAAAGGCTTCCACAACATGAAACTAGGTATGTTTGTGAACAAAGAGAAGGAAATGGATGAAGAATTGGAGTTCAGGAAGGTCTCGAACGAAAGGCGCGAAGTTAGTACGAAAGCTGCTTTTGTACTGTTTGCTGGCAGCTTACTTGTGCGTCAAGAAAGGAAGTTTGTGGCCGAGTTTTGTACTGTTTTTAGAGTTTGTTTTTACCTTAATTGTTTCCTAGTTATATTAGGATTGTATTAGGTTTTATTTGCCTTTAAATACCGTTATATTTCGTTGTAAAATTCAGACTTTGATTAATCGAAAAACAAACCCTTTGGTTTTGTGCAAGTTGCGACTTGTTTGAGTTTGGTGGATTCCAAACTTGTGAGCTTTGTACCGATTGAATATCCTCTTCAATCATGGTCGAGCAACTACCCTTTTATACCATACGAGCTTTCCCCAGGTGTGGAATTGTCCGTTGGTTCCGTTTTATCCCAATTTCGTATTAAGAACGCCTTGTTCTTGATTCAAGTTCAATCAATCTTCGGATTGATTGTTTGCTGCATTACTTTGATAAAAATACACCCCCCAGGGTCGTATTAATAGTAAAGAAAAAGAAAATGAAATAAAGAGGGTCCGACTTGCATCCAATTCTTTTTTTTATCAAATCTATAATGCTTTATTAATCAGAATCCGTGGCTACATTGTCCAACATGATCTGATCAACAAGAATCATAGGAGGTCTATCTATCCAGACCTCTCTCTCATTGCATCTAGTCTCTGAGTGAGCCATGATATGAGCAGTCATGTTCCCTTCCCTTGGAGCGTACAGCCAAACACCATTTCCAGCATCTCGGAGGAGGCTGAGTATGTTGCGACATAATACACCAATCTCAGTGTGAATATTCTCCGCCACCGCCAGCTTATGGGTGAGCGAGAGGCAATCTGTTTCGAGGATCACATTTGTCATGTGGAGTTGAAGAGCTAATTGTACACCAAACTCTGCTGCTAAGGCTTCGGCCACTTCTGCTTCCCACACTCCTGGAACTCTTTTTGCTGCTGCAAGGAGGAAAGTCCCATCTCCATCACGTATTACCACTCCAAGTCCAATTCCCCCGACCTCAAAGACCCCTGCATCAGTATTAATCTTCAGCGGGCCCCTTCCTGGTTTTCTCCAGCCTTTTGCTGCAGGCTGTTGCTCCCCGACCTCTTCCTTCGTCGCGGCCTAGTGAGCTCGATAATCAGCTATCCACAGCTTCGCACGCGGAACTATCTCATGCTCAGCCAGCTTTATTCCGTTGAAGAGGTGAGCATTTCGCTCTTTCCACAGGAACCAAAGAAGAACCGCCCAGTCTTCAAACTCTGCCTCAGTCTTCAAGTCCATGACCGTCTTTAGCCAGTCATAACAGCAATCCGAGGGGTGACATAGGAAGCAGTTGGCCAACTCCGAGCTTCGCCATAGCCGGGACGACCATTCGCACTGTGCAAACCTGTGGATCTGGGTCTCCTTTAAATCGCAAAAAATGGCACTTATCCCCCCACCGCTTACTTCTTGTGCTGATATGGTCCCCAGTTGGTAAGATATCTCGAGCAAACCTCCATAAGAAGTGCTTTACTTTCGGCGGAATTTTTGTTGTCCATAGCCTCTTCCATACCTGAGATTCGCCCGCTAGCGATACCTGTTCGCGAATTTTAAAGTCTTGAAGCCAGAGACGGTACCCATCACGAACTGAATACTCGCCAGACGCAGTTCCCATCCAAATTTGTCTATCACCTTCCCTCAAGCTGCGCAAAGGAATATTGTGGATTGCATCTCCGTCGAGAAACACGCTTCGAGCAGGGAATCGTCCCACTGGTCGGTGTCAGGGGAAATGAGTTCTCGGACAGCGGCATCGACCGGGAGTCCGACAGGCGGCGATTCCACGAAAGCGGAGGCTGTTGGAAGCCATTTGTCTCCCCATATTCTGATTTGTGCTCCATTTCCCACTCGCCAGCGTAGTTCGCTTGTTAGGAACTCCTGCGCACTCATGAGGCTACGCCAAATGAAGCTGGGTTGATATCCACATGACGCGTCCAACACAGAGCAGTTCTTATGATATTTTGCTTTAAAAATGCGCGCGATCAAAGAATCCGTGCGATGATGTATTCTCCATAATTGTTTTGCAAGCAGCGCCGTATTGAAACCTTGTAGATCACGTAGACCCAACCCGCCCTCCTCCTTTGCACACACAATTTCCTCTCGTCGAAGCCAATGAACCCTTGTCTCTGTCCCTTTTTGGCCCCAGTATAAATTAACTATGAGGCTTTGAACTTCATTCAGGACAGCTTGGGGAACACGAAAGACTCCTATAGCATAGGTGAATTGTGCTTGGGCAACAGACTTTATCAGAACTTCCCTGCCCGCAACAGATATTAAACGCATCCGTTTAAATTGTCTTTTTGCTTTGTGTTGCTAAACGAGTCATTCTGACTCATTCACTATATTATAAGAAATTTCATCCCAATTAATGCATCCAAACGACCTAAGGTTGATGATCTATTCCCAAACTAATCCGTAGATTCAATTTAATGATGTATCTACAAATGAAAACATTTCATGATGGACACGTAATTAAACTAACCATATTAACTCTACGCTCACATCTAGTTATCTTGGGTATTCATATTCAATCGAAATTTGTCTTTACTCCAATAATGATATATCACATCATAAGAGACAATATTAATAAATACCGTGTTCTTGTAGTTTTGTGGACATTTCTTAATCAAAAGTTTGCCTTCATATGGGATCAAGTTTTTTTTTATCTCTTATTATCCATACAAAAACAACTCATACAAAAACAACTCACAGCCCAAGTTTCAAACAAATCAGTATCATATAATAACCATGACAACAACAAAAGAACCAAAAACAAAAAGAAACTTCTCCTACACATGTGGATAACCAAACATTTGTTTGTGTACTAGCCAAGATTGCTTTGGTCCCTAGAATAGCAAAACGAAGAAATGCTCAACGAAATGAATGGAAGCCATGAACAAGGCCGAGTACCACGCTGCAACTCGACCAAGCTCCTATATGTGAGTCCCCTCATCTTCTTTTATTCTTCAGTCGTTGGTCTCGTGCCTACTCCTCCTTTCCTTTCGAAAGAGGAGTCGCGCCCTGGATCTTCGGCTCGCTTTTTTATACTATTATTACGTTTTCCATAAACTTTTTTTTTATTTTTCACTAACTTCTTCGTCTACTTCTTTCTTTTTATGATAACACATTGCCAAACTACTCTCTTTGTTGACATTTTTGGTATCGTTGTTCCATTTCAATCCTCCCTAATTCATGACGGCTTCTTCATCTAAGTTGGTGGTGGCGACCACCATCGCTGCATTTCTCCTCCTCCTTCTTGTCATGAATTCACCGGTTGACGCACATGAAAAGTTTCATAAGGGAGTAGGCGTGACGTATGATGCAAGATCCCTCATCATCAATGGCAAAAGAGAGCTCCTTTTCTCTGGCTCCATTCACTATCCTCGCAGCACGGCAGATGTAATAATTTTTATTATTATATATTTTCAATTAAGCCCAAAAAGTTGTAGTATTACTTTATCTCTCTCTTTAGTATCCCATGTTTTCTTGATGTACCATTATATTTGTGTTTCAATACTCTCGAAACACAGCAACTAACTTCTTTTGTTGTGTTTTTTTACAGATGTGGCCAAAACTTTTGGAGGATGCTAAAAGGGGAGGCATCAATGTGATCCAGACTTATGTATTCTGGAACATCCATGAGCCGGAGGAAGGCAAAGTAATGTTTATTTTAATGGATTAATTTGTTATCTCTTTTTGACCAATTAAGTGCAATAAAATTGTTTTTTTTAAATTGGCATTTGCTTTTTGCTTTCTAGTTCAATTTTGAAGGAAGATTTGATTTGGTGAAGTTCATAAAGTTGATTGGTGAACATGGTTTGTATGCAACCATTAGGCTTGGACCATTCATCCAAGCTGAATGGAATCATGGGTAAAATTTCCTCTCATTCTTTGTTATCTCCTTTACTCTTTTATTGTTGCTGATTCTTGGCTTGCTTTTCTTGGAATCATAATCGCCAGAGGACTTCCTTACTGGTTGAGAGAGGTCCCTAACATCATCTTTCGTTCGTACAATGAACCCTACATGGTAACTAAACCCGACAACAAAATAGTGAGGATTATGAATCAAAATGTTTCATTGAACTCCAATTTTTTGGCAATGACTTCACAGCAACACATGGAGAGATTCGTCAAAATGATCGTTGAGAAGCTTAGAGATGCCAAGTTGTTTGCCAGTCAAGGAGGTCCCATCATTCTAGCTCAGGTTTAATTTTTTTCTTTTATTGTTGTTTATTTAGCCCAATTCAAACTGAAATCCATTGTTCAAATAATTGAAAATTTTGATATTCATGATGTAGATTGAAAATGAATACAACACTGTCCAACTAGCATATAGAGACTTGGGCAACAAGTATGTCCAGTGGGCTGGAAACATGGCTGTAGGGCTCAATATTGGTGTCCCGTGGATCATGTGCAAGCAGAGGGATGCTCCCGGTCCTGTGGTAAGCAATCGCTAGTTTAATTTGAGTATTTTTTCAAGATTTTAGGGTCATTTGTTGAGGGGTATGATTTTTCGTCTTCTAGATAAATTCATGCAACGGGAGGCAATGTGGAGACACCTTCAGTGGTCCAAATGCACCCAACAAACCTTCCTTGTGGACTGAGAACTGGACTGCTCAGTGAGTATAAGAGATTTACATAAATCTGCTTACTATGTTCCACATTGGTTGATAGGTTGAATCTTCAATGTTATGTTGCTTTTAGGTTCCGAGTGTTTGGTGATCCACCATCTCAGAGGTCCGCAGAAGATACCGCATTCTCGGTAGCTCGTTGGTTCTCCAAGAATGGAAGTCTGGTTAACTACTACATGGTAAGGGGGAAAAAGCTTGTTCATGTTATCTAATAAATTATTTGAGATAGGTTCTTAAACAAAACCATGACTTATGCATATTTTGTTGCTATAGTACCATGGTGGAACTAATCTTGGCAGGACTGCTGCATCTTTTGTGACAACTCGATACTATGACGAGGCTCCCATCGACGAATTTGGTAGGTTGATATTGATTTCTTATATATCTTAAGAGAGAATGGATTGACCTTCTATTTCAACTAATTATGGATTCATCATTTCAGGTCTCGAGAGGGGACCAAAGTACGGTCACTTGAAGGATGTACACAAAGCTCTCAATCTATGTAAGAAGGCTCTACTTTGGGGATCTACGAGTGCCCCACGATTGAACCCAGATGTCGAGGCTCGAATATATGAGCAACCTGGGACAGATGTGTGTGCAGCTTTCCTGACCAATAACCATACCAGGCTTGCTCATACTGTTAAATTCAAAGGCCAAGAGTATTACCTCCCTCCTCGTTCCATCAGCATCCTTCCTGATTGCAAAACCGTGGTGTTGAACACTGCAACGGTACACTTACTACAATCACATAGAAAAAAACATTCTTGTGCATATTTTGGAGACGAGGAATCTTGACTATTCTAGGTATAAAAAAATAGATTCTGGCGCAACACAATTCAAGGAACTTTATAAGATCAGCAGTCACGAACAAGCTCGATTGGAAGATGATCGTTGAGGCCATTCCAACCAACCTTAAAGTGGTATCATCCACTCCAATGGAGCTCTATTTTTTGACTAAAGATAAGACCGACTATGCATGGTACACCACAACGTAAGTAAACTCAGATCCACGAAGATTGTAACCTAATACCTTGTCTTGCAAGCTAATGCGCAAAAATCTCAAACCTCCATCCATGTTGAATTTGTGCCAACCACAGCATAAACTTGGATCCACGAGACTTGTCAATGAGGAAAGACATTCTCCCAGTTCTTAGAGTTGCAAGTTTAGGTCATGGCATGTTAGCATTTGTGAATGGCCAATTTGTAGGATCTGCACATGGAAGCCAGATCGACAAGAGCTTTGTACTCCAAAAATCAGTAGAGTTGAAGCCTGGAATTAACTATATCTCCCTTTTGGGAACCTTGATTGGACTTCCTGTGAGTCAAAACTAACTGCAAACAAAAACATAGATTCAGGTTATCAATATAATCATTTCCTCATACTTCTCACTCTTTATGAATTGCAGGATAGTGGAGCTTACATGGAGCACAGGTTTGCAGGGCCTCGTGGTGTTTCGATCCTAGGATTGAACACAGGAACACTCGATCTATCGCAGAACGGTTATGGTCAACAGGTTTGAATGAAACACCAACATAAACTTTATCTCTTATCCCACAAACACCACAAATCAATGGCATGATAACTTGAATACCCCATGTTACAGGTTGGTTTAGTTGGTCAGCATGATGAGTTGTTCACCGATGATGGATCAAAGAAAGGGAAATGGATAGATATCCCAAAAGTAGGCAAAGGACCTCCCCTCACATGGTATAAGGCCAAGTTTGATGCACCGGAAGGAAACGACCCTGTTGCAGTTAGCATGTATGGAATGATCAAAGGCATGATTTGGATCAATGGAGAGTCTATTGGTCGGTACTGGATGTCCTACATCTCCCCTCTTGGAGATTCAACTCAAGCCGAGTAAGCCGATTTAAAAAACCCAAGATTCATCGTAGTTAGAAGATTTATAAGTTTTGTCTAAACAAAATTCTTCATTCAGGTATCTCATTCCGAGATCGTACCTAAAACCAAAGGATAACCTAATTGTGGTGTTGGAGGAAGAACCAGCACATCCATCGAACATCACTATCCTTACGGTGAATCGTGACACAATCTGCAGCTATGTGTCGGAGCTTAGCCCACCGAGCGTGAGACAGTGGGAGAGGAAAGGTGACAAGTTCAAGCCAGTTGGTGCAGAAGCCAAGGTAGGAGCTCATTTGATGTGTCCCATGGGGAAGAAGATCGCCGTCGTCGATTTTTCCAGCTATGGTGATCCATATGGCGCTTGCGGCGGGTTTTCCCAGGGGAGGTGCAGCTCGCCAGTGTCTAAACAAGTGGTTGAACAGGTAAAGGAAAGAAATAAAATTGTTATTAAATTATCAATTTTTGGGTGATAGGATGAAATAACTTGTGGTTTGTGGTATTTGTATTGAGTAGAGTTGCTTAGGAAAGGAAGTTTGTAATGTTCCACTGGAGAGGGGACTTTTTGAGAAGAATGGTGATCCTTGCCCTAACGTGAAGAAGACATTGGCGATTCAAGTGACCTGCCGATAGAAGAAAGTAGAGGAGAAGAAGCCATAAGAATGTCAAAATGTGAACAGACAAAAAAGAAAGAAAGAAGAGCGAGTGCCATTAGTGATTGCTTGTTGAATTTTATTGAATGACAAGTGACAAGATGATATTAGATTGATTGATATGGAGAGAGAGAGAGAGAGAGAGAGAGAGAGAGAGAGAAATTTTGGGGTGAAATTGGTTTCAAAATTTCAATGTCTTTTAATACTTCGACGAAAAGAGAAAGAAAGAAAGGAATAAGAAGTTAAAAAATCCATATTTTTTGCAATTTCACTTGTTAAAATTTTGGGTAAAATACCTTGGGTGCCACTTAAGTTTGAGAATTGGGGTATGCATACCACTTAACTTTGAATAGGGCGTCGGGTACCAATAAACTTTATTATATGTGCACCCGGTACCACTTAAGTATACTGTTAAGTGCATTCCGTTAAAGTTGACAGAATATTCTTGGAATATTCCATTTTCTAAATTTCATAATTAACCCTTCTACTTTTCTTTTTGTAAAAAAATCATTTGGACTTATGAAAAATATCATTTTTATTGTTTAGTTAGAATCCTTTTTTCAATACTGAATACCAAATCAATTTTTGAATAGAAATTTTAGAATCAATTATCATTATAATTATTTTCAATTATCATTATGTGTTCTAGTAATAGAATCCTTTATAGTCATGTTTTCTTTTCTATATTTTTTACAGAATGTTGTAGCTTTTATATTTTGTTTATTACTTGGTTACTTTTCATCTCTTTTCATTCTAAATTTTTTTAATTAGTGAAATATGTTTAATTCTTTCCGATTGTGTTACAACTTCCATTTATCCTTTTTTATTTTGATGTATTAATAATCGATTTGGTTCTATTTTAATTATTTCATTTTGGTGAAACTATTTTAACTATTTCTAATGGTGCTTCTAATTTAATTAGTGGGTTTAAATAGATATTCTAATATTTATTTTAAATATTTAGTATTGTATTCTAGCATATTTATTCTTCTTCTTGATATTCGTTTACTAATTTTATCTATTTTATTGAAAAATATTTGATTAGTAATTCTAGTAATAATATGTTTAAAAGGTTTTCTAATTATTATATTAGATAAAAAAACTTGTTGAAATATAGTTTGGATATTTTTTTTAAGTTTTGGGTATCAAAAAGTAATTAAAAGTTTGGGTTGGATGGAAAAGTTGACGGATGCACATTTTGACAACTTTAATGGTACCCGACGCCCTATTCAAACATAAATGGTATGTCTACCCCAATTCTCAAACTTAAGTGGCACCCGAGATATTTTACCCTTAAAATTTTGATCTTCCAAAATTCACTCTCATTAACACATACTACTGCCACAAGATATCGGATGAATTGAACACATTGGAACTACAAGCATGAACTATTGATATAAAATTTCCATTTTCAAATACTGACAATTTAATTATAACATCAAAATAACTACTTTATCCATTAATTTCTCCTACCACAAACTTAAATGCTTGTTTTTTCCCATCTTAAAAGAAGGTAAGAAAAAAATGTACTTGAATATATCAAATGCAGTCGTCTGTCACGTTATGTAGTTAATGAATCTCATTTTTTTATATTTTCTACAGCAAGACGTTTGGTAAATTAGAGGACTACAAGAGAAACTTGATCATTTTCAATAAGAAGAGAGAAGTCATCACAATTCACAATTGGAAACCCAAATTTTTTTTATGTCAAGCAAATAAAACAAAAGGATTGGATAAGATAATTTTGAGAACCATTCATAATTTACATGGTAACTTTTCATAGTTTGTAGGAGCTACAAATCACTCGATTGGAACAATAACCAACAAACTAACTTTTAGAAATTTCGATTAAAGTACACAACACCATTTCAAAGGTGTCAAAGGCTTATCTCTGATCTTGTAAATGAGTATAAATTTAAACACTTAGAAGATGGATCTAGAGCATATATTTGTGTTGACATGTAATTCCATATAACTAGAATCATTTTGACCTATGATATAGTTTCACTCGACCTCTATATAATCTTAACAAAACCAGTTTCATCCGACCTGCTTATGTTACTTAGTACATAATAATATATTATAGTTTGCCTCGTACATTTATAAACACTTAATCCGTTAATTTTCACTCCCACCAAAGGCGGAGCCAATGCATGCCAAGGTGGGCCCCCGAGCCCATCTTTGTTCGGGAGAAAATAAATACATGCTGATAAAATAGTTAAGTGTCAGTGACATTTTTCACCTAAAATTTGTCAATGTTGGTAAAATTTTCTACCACCAAATAATAATTAAATAATAAATTTAGTTGTATATAATACATTATAGTTTCTACATAAATAATATTAAAACAAAACAAAACTTCATTCTTTAGGGTCTCCAATTCTTCATTTATTCATCTATGTGAATGGTTTTTTTTTTTTTTACGATATAAATTTTTATCGGACCCAGCTTATCTAATTTCTTGGCTATACCGCTGATTCCCACAATAACATATCACACCACTTTGATGTGGCCAATTTTGAATGAATAAAGCCTACAAATGATCGATCAAAAAATCAATTATAATTGTCTTTTAGAAACATATTGCAAACATCTCAATGTCGATATTGCATTGACCATGTCCGAAATATGTGCCAAACTATTTTTTCAAGAATGGAAGGGAAAGGTTAGAAACAAATTTGAGAATTTTTTTGGGGGAAAATCCTACCAAGGAGGGCTATCATCAGCACTCCTTCAGTAAAAATATAGAAGACTCCATAAATAGACTCAACCTAGATTTGCATGACCTGAAATTGCAAGTTTAGTGCAAGGAAACACTTACTAGTATTTCATGGAAAATGCAAGTAATAAGTTAACAACTTGGCAGGATGTACGCAAATCCCTTCTCCATCTTTTTATTAGTATATGTTTCTGTGTCCGCTTTACATAGTGCCAAAAATGGAAAAAAATGGAATTTCCATTCGATTCTAAAAGTATTCCTATCATTCATAAAAATAAACCGTATTCCTATCATCATCGGTATCGCAAACCCATAAAAACAAAAGTATAGTTATGAGAAGAGAAGAGAACAAAGAAACATCACTGAGCAGCAGCTCTCCACTGCAACTCCAGCTGAAGCTTCCCATTCTTCGAGTCTATAAGATGATACTTCTCGTTGATCCTCTTGTTGTGCACGACATCTGCCAGATTGATCACCGTATACCCCAAACATTCCTAGTTTCAACAAACATTCAGAAACAAGATCAGCATCTTCTGATCTTGTAATACAAGTAACTTGACGACGAATCTATGTATATATACCTTCGGATGAAGCATGCCCATCCGCTTAGAACTACTCGTAACTTCTACGTGCAGCTTCTCATTGGTTGGAGGTTCTTCCAGCATAAACTGGAACTCCTCCTCCCACCTTGGATCTCTGCACTTCTTTATTGGCTGCAACCATCAAAACCCATAATTGTTATAGAACAAAAAAAGAATGCAGATAGAACAGCTTTTTCTTTTTTTTGGTTGTGTGAGTTTCATTCGCAGACAGACCTTGGTTCTTTTCTCCTCTCCTTTGAAAGTAATTCTGACACAGGGATTGGTGTGATGTTTTCCCTCAACATCTTGAGCTTCATGAACTATGACCACAAGCAATCCTCCACCAGCAGGAGTTCCCTCTGGCGGCTTCTCCACGGTCTGCATCTCCTCAAAGGTACTGGGCATTTCCTCTTCCTTAAATGGCTTGTAAGTAAGTTCAACGACGATCTGGCCTCTCGATTTTTCGTTCTGGGGGTCGTTCAGATCCATGGTTTTTAGTAGGTCGAGTGTCATGACTTTGGTCTCTTCTGGTGGAATGTCCTTCAGGGGGACTAGGTTCATCCCCATCTTGTCATGCTTGCCAACCTAACGAGAAGGTGAAAACGATCACAGTTATTTCAGATTATCTAATAAGTAGATGGGGAAGGTAGTCATCCGTGGAGAAGTTTTGAACACCTGCTCCCAGTCATACACATGGAGCTCAAGAGCCTGGGTCTCGGGATCCCGAACGGTCATGCTGAACTCCTCGTTCCATTCCGGGTTCAAGTTCTTGTGCCTTACTGTGGTCTTCTTGGATGGTACCTTATCCTCAGATAACTTCAGTTTCACATATGGGTCTGATGCACCGAGTAGGTCTTTCTTCTTTAGCCTCATTGCTCTCAGGACTTTCACTGTCAGGATTCCAACAGGCCTCTTCAAGGCTCTGCATGGTTGATGGGAGATTTTTTTTAAGTAAGACGAGGAATGGTCATAAAGAACTTATGAAGCATGAAACTGTTTTGTGACGTACTTTGCATCTAGGACTTGAATTCCCAAGGTTTTAGGCCACAGGTACATGTTTGCAACCTGATCTTTGATTATCTCCTGCAGGGCAGAAGAGAGAAAGAAAGACTTATGAGAATCTTGGCAATTGATAGCATAGTTCTAAACCATTATAAGCTTAATTTTGTTGGTGGAATTTCTTGGTAATGGTTGCAGCAGATAGGCAATGATTGAGTATGAGAAGAAGCTGTCTGCAGATTTCCCTTCACTGAAAGTACCTGAACAAGTCTGTAGACTCCTGGAATTGACATAAGATCAGCTCCCACAAGCTTGAGTCCAAAGTCCACATGAGGCTGCATTTTTGAATTATCTCCAATCAGTAACAATATCGACTTAGAATAGAGTCCGAAGGAACAGTAATCGTTTTGGACCAACCTTCTCCATTAGGGAAACGTAGATATTGGCAAAGCAGGGGAAGCTAGGAACCAAGGGTTTCAGAGTTATACGGGGAGAAGCAAAAACTTGCAGATCCAAAACCTTCACAATCATCCAAAACAAACAACAAACAATAAGAACCACAAAACACCCAACTCCACGTATACACAGAAACAGCTACAAGAACCCAAAACGAACTTGAGCTGTTGCTTTCAATCCAAATGCTTTAACAGCAACAAGGACATTAGGGTTTCCAGCCCACTTGATGCATGGCTCCATTATCAACTCCTTCTCATCAGTCACATAAACTTTCATTCCTGATCACAGTAAAACACAAAACAAATAAATGCGCACACACAAGACGCGGAATCACAGGTCACACTGCAGGCAAACTTTCAGAAGACTGCAGTTGGGTATTCAGCTTGCTCACCTTGAAAAGTTGGTGGCAGCGACCCGAGTGTAAGTGTTTCGAATTCGACAGAGTCTATCTTGTATTTTGGAATCTGCTCTGCGATTATCGGCTTTGCGATTTCCTGAACGGTCTTGCAAATGGCCTAATGTGCATCACAATAACCAGAACAGAAATGCAACCATTTGAGTAGGTGCATATCAAGAGAAAGGCTTCAAATCTGAGAAACATAGGGAACCAAAAAGCAAAATACCTTATCCAGGTAAGGCCACATATACTCAATAAACTTGTTCAACCAATCAATCTGCAGAAAGAAGAAAAACCAGACCCAGTTCACCATTTCTGAGCATCCAAAGAGCCACTAACCAGCTAGTAGTCTGTCCAAATATGAGTCCTCCATACACAAGAAAAGAATCTGTATACAGATTCTGAAACGGAAATTTCCGACTTACACGTTCGTGGTCAGGATTTTTCACCCAAGGTGGAATCTCAGGAAACATCCGCTGGAGAGTCTCGTCGTCTTGCTCAGCTAACGGACGAATCTCAGGATCCTGGCAATTCCCGGAAACACAAAAATCCAAATCAAGGCCTTTGTATTCATCGACAATCTCGGCTTCTTCTCTGGACAATTTCTCCAATCAAAATGCGGAAAATCGGGAAATCAATTCTGCAAAGGGGAGAAAATATCACCTTGACATCGCTTGGAACGGAGTGGATGAAGAGGAAGTAACCGATCACAATGCCCGTCGAAATCCCGACTCCGAAGCCGACGAAGCCGAAGATCATACTGAAGAACCCCATCCTCTCTCTCTCCGGTCAGAATTCAATCGAGTCGGCGTCGGCTTTGTTCAGGGTTTCCGGGTGGTGGCGTTGAGAGCGAATGGGGAAGGTAATCGGTGATGGTGATGGAAGAAGATCGCATTACTGTTACGGAAGAGGAAATGGAGAGCCGTTAATGGTGTCTGAGAGCATTTAATTCTACGCCCGGTGACGGAATTGATGAAGATGAAGAGAAGAAAATGAGAGGAAACGGAAAAGAAAAGAAAAAGAAAGAAATCAGAAGAGAAGGGAAAGGAAAGGAAAGGAAATGTTTGGAGCTTTTCAGGAATCGGTATCACACGTCATTCCTTGTTTCCGTTTTCGAGCAAACTTGAGGTATGAAATCAGGTGCGGCCGAATCTAGAGTTGAGTTGCTTACGTGGCCGCGCCAAATGTTATTCTGGCGGGCGATTAACAAGAATTGGGCCGTTCAAACGTGGCCCAATTTACATGGGTGGACTTGGACTGTCTTGCAACGTATGCCGTCGAAGGCCACTTGGTAGTCTTTTTTTTTATATAGGAACTAGTTGTTGACCCGGCCCGTTGGCCGAATTATTTTACATTTGTCGGCACGTGGAGCGAGAGTGAGAGAACGTCTATTCTCGTACAATTATATATTTAAAATGTTAACAATTTATTTATTTATTAAATAATAATTAAATACACATTTTCATGCAAAATACTCAAACATCTCTTCATATTTTAAATTAAAAATATATTTTTTTTTTCCAAGAAATATCAAGAAAACCTATACAACCTACCAAGACCCTGCCCAACCCAAAACATTAGTGAAGCCAACCTACAAAGTCAAAGGTACACAACTCTAAAGGGGAGAGTAACAGGGCTTTCTGCGCCACTCTATGGGCAGCCCTGTTAGCAGTCCGAGGAACTGCCCTAAACTCTAAAGAACCAGAGACGGAAGACCGGAGAAGAGCGCAATCCCGAAGCACTGAACCTCCAACGGAGTCTGAGAGAACGCCTTGACAAAGCTGACGAACCACGACCTCTGAATCCCCTTCAATGATGACTTGAGACAGAGATTTGGCCACCAAAAGGAGGATGGCGTCCCTAGCAGCAAGGAGCTCCGCAAGGTAGGGATCAACAATGCCAGGATGAAGAAACCCAACTGCCAGAGCCACATGCCCGTCTGAACTGCGCACGACTAGACCAGACGAGCTCCCAGAAGGCCGAACAGCAGCATCAAAGTTGATCTTCAAAAAACCATCAGGAGGCGGGGACCAGAACGAGTAGCGGGAGGAGGAAGGTTGGGGCGGAGGGGCAGGGACCAAAGGAAGGACAGAGGACAGCTCACGAACTTGGAAAAAACATTGACGCGCGAGAGACTGGGCATGAGGTTGGAAATGCTCAAAAACCACCTTATTTCTAGACTTCCAGATCCTCCATAATACACAAACGCATAGGAGGATGTGGGATTGGGGGTGCTCAGAAAGCATAACATGTCGCCACCAGAGACTGAAATTCACAGTCGGGGCCGAGGAAATGAAATCATTTAAGCCCATGAGTGACCACAAACTTGTGGCCAAGGGACATTTGAAGAACAGGTGTTCAAGACTTTCCGGACCCCTCCAGCAAACTGGGCAACGTCTCAGACAGTTTACTCCTCTAGACCTGAGAGCTACTACCGTTGGTAAAACCACTCTAAGGCACTGCCAGATAAAGAACTTTAGCTTTGGGGGGGATACCATGTTCCAAGTTTTCTTCCAGATAGGAGGATCAATGATTTGGACCAGTTGTTTTCGGCTCGAGACTAAGGAGAGCTCAAGAGCTAGGTGGTATCCTGTTTTGACAGTATATGAACCATTCTTTGTATAATGCCAAACTCTCGTATCCCTTTGTTGGCACCTTGGGAGCGGGATTTTACAAATAAGGTTCACTGTTAGAGGATCAAAACAATATTGCAGTCTTGGGACATGCCACTCGCCTCTATTTTCTTTGATGAAGAAGGAAACTCTTGGGGAATTAGTTATGTTCTCGAGGCGAACCAACGGTATAATGGGTTTGTCTGCCATAACCCATTTATCTTTGAAAGCCACAATGTCATGTCCATCCCCAACCTGCCATCTTAAACCCTGGAGAAGGAGGTCTCTACCAAAGAGAAGGCTACGCCAACCCCAAGAAGGGTTCGAACCAAGACTAGCATCCAAAATTGTGCCCTGCTGAAAGTACCGACCCTTATAGATCGAAGCCAGAAGAGAGTTCGGGTTTTGCCAAATTCGCCAACATTGTTTTGCTAACAAGGCTTGATTAAAAGCCCCAAAGTCCCTGAAGCCTAAACCCCCCAGAAATTTACTATGCGATAAGCTTTTCCAGGATACCCAATGAATTGGGTGCTCCACATTATCTGCTGAGCCCCACCAGAATCTAGCTACTTGACTATTTAGTCTCTTGCAGTTTTCTTTAGGGATCTTGAAGCATGACAATCCATGTACTGGAAGGTTGGTGGCGGCTGTTCTGATCAAAACGTCTTTGCCAGCCTTAGAAAGAACCCGCTGTTTCCAACCTTGTAACTTTTTAACAAGCTTCTCTTCTATAAATTGGAAGGCTTCTCTTTTTGATCTTGAAATGATAGAAGGGAGTCCCAAATAATAATCATGTTCTCCAATGCTTCCCACTCCTAGCTGCTCCCCTAGAGCCGCAGCTAGATCTGGATTCATATTACGGCTGAAAATAACAGCTGACTTTTGCAGGTTGACTCGTTGGCCGCTTAGACCTTCATAGGCTTGGAATAGGGAAAGAACTGTTGAGCATGACTGCGATGTGGCCTCTAAGAAGAGATAAGAGTCATCCGCAAAGAAGATGTGGGATACCATCGGACAGTTCGTCCTGATTCTGACTCCTTCCAGATATCCTACTGCTATTGTGTGCCTTATCATTGCAGAAAACCCTTCTGTACAGATAGCAAATAGGAGGGACGATAAGGGATCTCCTTGTCTAAGACCTCTTGCGGGACGGAAATAATTCGAGGGAATCCCGTTTACCAGAACCGAATAAGAAACCGTTGTGACACATTCTTTTATCCATGATACGAAATTGTGGTCAAACCCTAGTACCTTCATCACTTCAAAGAGGAAAGGCCATTCCACACGATCATATGCTTTTTCCATATCTAGCTTTAGGGCCATCCATGTTCGTTGACCTGAAGTTAGGGTCCTGAGATGATGAGTTATCTCATGACTGATTAGAATATTGTCAGCGATTTGACGCCCTTTAATGAACCCATTCTGGGTTTGGGAAATTACACTGGGGAGGACTCTGCTTAGTCTATTAGCTAGGATTTTTGCTATGATCTTATAGACTACTTGACACAGACTAATAGGTCTAAGATTTTTCATGGTCCTAACTTCTGCAGTTTTTGGGACCAGTGAGATCCAAGTTCTATTGAAAGATCGTAACAGGTGACCAGAGTGAAAGAATGCTAGGACTGCCTTAGTGACACTGCTGCCAACTATATCCCAGTATGCTTGATAGAAACCGGCTGTGAAACCATCTGGTCCCGGAGCTTGAGTTTTCCCCATACTGAAGACAACTTCTCTGACTTCTTCTGGTGTGACACTAGCTACAAGAGCTTGATTTTGTTCATCAGAGACGGAATATTCAAACGGGAGATTTGACACATTGATACCTTCATTAAGCTGAGACTGAAACAAGGTTTGATAAAACTCAACTGCTATGCTTAGTTTCTGGTCTCCATCAGTACACCAAAGGCCCCTAGAGTCCTCCAAACCCCAAATGAGATTGGCCTGGCGCCTGATTGCTGTTATCATATGAAAATATGGGGTGTTACGATCCCCTTCTGTTAACCAGCTAACACGCGACTTTTGCCTCCAATAGACTTCTTCCATCCTGTACTGAACCTCAAGCCTCTCTTCCAGAGACCGTATCAGAATCCAATCCACTACGCGACTTTCCCGTGCCTCAACAAGAGCTGAGCTTAGGTCTTTTATCAGCCTGGCTGAATTGGACGTACCCCCTTTGCACCAGTCTACTAGGGCGTGACGGACCCTGAGCAATTTGTTAAAAAGACAGAATTGTAGGGAACCCGTTATGGGTGTATTCCAGACAAAGTCGATAATGAGCCTTGCTTCAGGGGTTCTAGTCCATCTAATATCAAAATGGAATAGACGTTTAGCTCTAGTCATTTCTGGCGTTGTCATGAGACACAAGAGTCTATGATCTGACCCTTTATCTGAGAGATGATAAAGACAAGAGTTTGGCCAGTGGGAAGCCCAGCTTGTGGAAACAAATGCTCTGTCAATTTGTTGTTCAATTAGGATACCATTTCTTCCTCGGTTAGTCCAAGTAAATTTTGGACCCTGAATTCTTACTTCTAGCAAACCCAAATTATTTAAAAAGTCCCAAAGGGGCCGGGCTTTGTCCATTCGCCAAGGGGCACCTCCTGATTTCTCTACCGGGGATAAGGAGCAATTAACATCTCCAATTATTAGAAAGGGGTCTGACAATCTTGCACAAAAGCTATTAATCTCCTCAAGTTGTGAGCGCCTATTTGCGATTATGTAGGATAAGTATACTCCTACTAGCACAAAACGAGGACAGGCATCGTAGCAATGGGAGTTATTATTAATGACCGAAATAGCAATGAAAAAAGGGGTTGAGCCAATGACAGAGACCGAATTCCCTCTTGGCCACCCAAAAACTAAACCCCCCGACAGACCGGTAGGGTTAACTGGAAAGCAATCTGAAAATCCTAATCGAGACATAAAAGATCCAGGCCAAGAAAATAACAACTTTATTAACATATTGAAACAAATTGTTGTCAATTTTATGTATAAAATTATCTAAATTCGTTTAATTTTATTTATATAAAAAAGGTACATGTATCCCCCTCTCACTCCAATCCCATTTTTTCCCTAAATGGTACCCCCGGTGCCATACCCATGGTATTAATGTTTCTCATCATCTTCTAATTTTTTATAGTCGTCGTTCGTCAACCGTTCATTCACTTCATTCAAAAAGCCTATCATCTCCAAAGTTTCAATATTCTAATACATATACTTCTCGTATTCGTCCAAACAATTTGTAGATAAGTGGTCACCATAGTAATCTCTTCGAATTTATCTCTCTTATTCTAGTCATGAGTTCTCAATCCAGTTGAGTTCACAATGCTTTTAGAAAGCCCGAATTCTACAGTATGGTAGTATATCGCTTGCGATTAGCATGTCATCTGCATGTTGATTTTGAACCCAACAG